CCCCGGGCTCAGGGTGCGCGGGGCCGCGTGTAGTGTGAGGAAACGAGGGGCGAGGGAGGAGTGGGCGCTCGGCGCGTTTGAAGTGACCGGCCGCAGCACGCCGGACCGAGCGCCAGAGTCCTCCGCCCGCCCCTTTCCCCGGCAACAGGTTCCCCCCGGGAGGGAGGGGCGGGCGGAGCAGCTCGCGGGCCGCGTCGCCCCGGTCCCCGGCCGCTGGGGCCTCCGCCGACTGATGCCGCCCGCGTCCTTGGTGTCGTCCAGGCAGGGCGGCCGGGACGCCCCCATAGCGGGCCGCACTAGCCGCGGCCCCCGGAACCCTTCTCTCGCCTCCCAAAGTGCGCGCGGGCGGTGAGGAAAGTGAGCCCGCCGCGTCGCCGGAGCCCGCCGCGCCGCCCACGGACGCCGGAGCCCGGACCCGCGGCAGGCTACTCGAGAGCCAGGCGTGCTGTGGGCCTGCGACCCCCCCGTCCCCCCTGGAGACCCCCAAGCCTTGAGCTCCCATTCCTGACTGATCTCCCCCCCGTCCCCCCTGGAGACCCCCAAGCCTTGAGCTCCCATTCCTGACTGAATCTTCCTAACAGTGATCTTCGCCTCACCAGACCTGACTGAGCTTTAGCCAAGTCTCCAGCTGAATTCCCCCGAGAATCTAAAACGTAATTTTTCCAACCCGAAACAGAACTCGGTGTTCTGCGTGAAAGCTTACGAAATGCAGACTACATTAGCGCCCTGCAGTCACAGACGCATTGAAACACTATGGACACCTACTCCCATCCTGAGGCTGACCACCAACCATGTTTGCACGAAGTCTTTGGCTCCAAGGGTCTCTCTTTGGGGCTCACCTTTCTGTTTCTGTCTTCCAGTTTTCTTCCCCCTATGCTTAGTTCCCCTCAGCTTTGACATCACGGGGTTATTTGGTTAGTCCCTTCGACCTTTACCCCCCCTTGAGTTTCCTCTCAATCATGTTTCTTCCAGGTTATCTCCCAAGATCCTGGTGCCTTTTCTTTCTCTCACTGCATACTAACTTCATTCATCTCCTGTGGTCCTCATCCTGGACCTGGGTTTATTATTGAACCCAAAGTCCCCAAACCTTTTTTAATAAGAGTAAACCATTTCTGACTCCAACTCAACAATCAGACTTCCATAGAACCCCCAAATTGAAATTAATGACATATCAGAACTTTTCTTTGCAAAGCATCATTGCCCTTGGACCATGATCACTTCTTGCCTCCTAACTTGACACAAACACCAGCAATTTGATTTACAGGGTGAATTTATCATTATTGTTTATGTGTAAATAAATGTACTGTTTTTGTTGCTCTTATTAAAGGCTAGGTTTTGGACTGGGTCACTGAAAGTAGACATTGAAATAAGGTTTTATTGTTTTCACTTGTAGATATCAATGAAGTTTTATAAATTGAAGTAAGTGGCCAATTAACTCAACAAATAGTACAGTTGGCCCAGGACACCTGTAATCCCAGCAGGCAGGAAGCTGAGCCAGGAGGATCTCCAGTTCAAAGACAGCCTGAACTACATAGGGAAGAAGGTTATCTATAAAATAAAATTAAATGAAATACCAGGTCAGGCACTGCTGCTGGCACTGGTGATACAACAGGGAATAAAGGACTCTGATGATGGTTAAGTAAAACATTCAATGTTACCTTGTGTTTGCAGACTTAAGTCAGTGGCTAAATTATGAAATGAATTACAGGAGCAGAGAGAGTAACACAAAATTGTTTGGCACTAAGATTTGAGATTAGACTCGAAGAGGTAATGAGAGGGAGCTGGCCGATTCAGATGGCACATGAAAAGACTCATCAACAGTGGCAGGTTTATAGAACATGACAGGAAGCTGTGCTTAGCTGAGAAAAGGAAGCAGGGGAAAACAAAGTCTGTGATGAAAACTGGAAAGGAGCCACAAAAGCCTACAAAAAACAAGGAAGGACATTTTGGTAACAGATCCTGGAGTGACTGAAAAGCCAGAGTGTCATTTGAGGATGCAAGTAGTAAAACCACGCCTTTTTTTCCTTAATGTGAGAAAAGCAAATCCTGTTGAGTAAGTGGTGGCATGGGCCTGTTATCCCAGCACTGAGGCTGAGGCAGGAGGATCAAATAGTTCAAGGTCATCCTTAGCTACATGGTGTGTCTGAAGCCTCTCTGGGCTCCAAGGAGACCCTGTCTCAAAAAACACAATAAAAATCCTGTTAAGTTGGGAGAGTATGGATGGATCCTGTGGTATGAATATTCATACTTACATTTACATTTTTATTTTTAATTGCATAAAAATCCAGAAAATGTTTTTTAAAACTTAAATTGGATCCAGTTCACATATGTCCTTCTTTATAAAGAAAAGAAAAAAAAATAGGACTAGAAATGGTGCAAGGAGCTATCCTGAAGACAAGATGTTGTAATATTAGCAATTTTTGAATGCTTTATTCAGTGCCTATTTTGAGCTAAGATGAAGACATTGTGATCAAATGCACAGTTTCCGTCCTTTTGAAATTATTGCTTATAATTAGAAAATAGACAATAACCATAAAATGTGATAGATGCTTTCCTAGAATTTCAGGGGGTAAGGAACAAATTTCTTGTTCTCCAGAAATAAATTACAAAGTCCAAGAAATGTAGGTAGAAAATGACATTTGAACTATAACATGAAAGAAATCAGGAAAACTAAGAAAAGGAATATGAGGAAAGGAGAAAGTGCCGAAGGGCAGGAATAGTGTGGACAAGTGCCCCAGGGTGACGGAGAGGAAAGTGATTTACTGGCTTGAGGCCTCTGGTTGAAGTGCCTACAAAAGTAGACCAAAGCTAGACCCACAAAGGCCATAAACTGTGAGCAGGAATCTTAATTTTATTCTGACAGCGTGGGAGGCCATAAAAACATCTGTGCATTTGTGTTAAGACCTATTGTGTCACGTTAGTGTCCCCAGAGTTCCTCAGTGCAAGTTCATCTACTGAGGTCTAGTCAGCTTGTCTAGAGTCTGTTTTGGGAGATCAGCTCTTCCTCACCCAGAGGTAATCAGTTGCCAATATTTATTCAGCTAAGGTTGGGGTTTGCTGTCCATTTCTCCAGTCCTATGCTGGGTTTTTGTCTGTTTGATGACAGAAAGTATGAGTTCCTGTGGCCGGGGTGGGGTGTGGGGTGTGGGCTTCTATGGGAGGGTGCCAATGAGGACGGGGGTATAAAGATGATTAAGATTGACTGAGATGTTCTGTATGAAATACATGAAAATTCAATTAAAACAGATAAATTATGCAGAGAAGAACTGATATTACTTGAAATTTAGGAAGATCAACTTAACTGCAGTGTGGAGAAAGATTTACAAAACAGATAGTTTTGTTTTCTCTCCTAATACACAACTTTTGACTTTGTTTTTATTCCCCTCCCACCAATTCTGGGGTCAAACTCAGGGCCTTGCACATACTAGGTAAGTGCTCTAGGAGTGAACTACACCCAGCTGATCTTTTTCTTTTTATTTTACTGTGATGTATCTAAATGTGATTTTGCTTTGTGCCTTGAATGAAGTTTATAGAGATTTTTGATTATGTGACTTGAGGTCTTTTGTTTGCTTAGGAAATTGTTCATTATTATTATATTGAAATACGGTCTCATTGTGTAACTCTGGCTAATCTGAAACTTGCTATACTCCTGCCTCGGCCTCCTGAGTGTTAGTCTTGTAAGAGTGCCTGACCACAGTCACTATTTCTGCATGACCACAGCACTATTTCTTCCCATATTGTTGCTGTTTGTTTTTCTTTTCTTTTCCTTCTGACAGTTGAATTACATACATATGAGACCTTTTCAGTAAATCACGTCTGTCTCTTATCTCTTTATTGTCTATTCTTTTGTCACTCTGTGCCTCAGTCTAGATACTGTCTTCTGGCCTCTTTTCTAGTTCGTGGATTCTCTCTTCAGCTATAGTTGATCTGTTAAGTCTGTTTACTGAGTTCTTAATTTTATTATTGTATACTTCAGTTCTTTAACTTCACTTTAATTATTTTTGTGGCCTCTATATCTATGCAGAAACTTATATTGATATTTACTTTCTTGAGCATATCAGTTATAGCTATTTTATAGTCTGTGTCTGACAAACTCCAGTTGGGTCTTTATCTGTTTGTTGAGTTTCCTTTTATTCTTGTATTTTTGTAAGCATGGTGGGGGTTGTTTGGTTTGTTTATTTTAAAACTGGGCATTGCATTTTTAAAAATTACAAAGATGCCCTTGTGTATTTATATTGGCTCTGACAGGTTATTGGGAGTAGGGATGATTTTTTTATGAAAATATTTGTTATTTGTAGGGATTCATTTTTGTTTTTAATTACGTGTGTGTGCCTGCAGTTCCCAATGAGGCCAGAAGAGGGTGTCAGATGCCCTGTATCTGGAGTTACAGAAGGTTGTGAACTGCCTGCACAGTGTGGGTGCTGGAAACCAAACGTAGATCCTTTGCCAGAGTTCTTAACAACTGAGCCATTTCTCCAGCCCCTAAACGTTGAACTTTTCGTGTGGACAAATATTTGCATTTCTCTTGGTTATGTACCTAGGAGTTGGATTGTTAATGTTAATTCTACTTAACTTTTTCAGGGACTGCCAAATTGTTTTCCAAAGGGCCGGTCGGTTTGTATTCCCTCTAGCAGTGTTTGGGGGTTCTGATTTCTTCACCTGTTCTAGTATATTCTTACTGTTTAAAATTAGTGGCTTTCAAGTAGTATCTCTTTGTGGTTTGGGTTTGCAGTTCTCTGATGATTGACGATAAACATTTATCTATGTACTTATTATCTATTTACATATTTTCTTTGGGGAAAGGAATTCTATTCAACATCT